AAAGATTATGTGTCAGGCAGTGGGTCTCACTGGCTCTCCCAGGAAGGCTGCTCTCTCTAGTGTCAAGAATAGGCTTTATATGTCCAGTCTCAGGATGTAATCTTCCATAATTACATACCTTTCACAGACTGTCAGCTAAGTACCCAGGCTTATCAAACATTGCTCTTTTGGGCATTTTTTTCAGCTTCTGTTTAGGATACAGTTACCTGTGGAGGATGTTGTAGTGTTTTTATGTCAAAAGCAAGGTCTCACAGTAGTGAGATTTGCCTAGTGTAGAGATTATTCAGTTTTGATGTCCAACCCAGGGAAGGAAGAAGCTTTCAGTGTTGCTGTAGCTTGTAGGTGCATACATTGTTATAGAAAGAATATAACTTGTGTGGGTGCTACCATACTTGACACCTCAGTCTGTTTCATCAGACTGTTACAAATTTTTCCCTGTATTTCCAGCAGTTTAGAGTACATCTGTGGTTTTTAACCGTATGGCTGATGATTTATGAAATGTATGTACTCATCAGAAGTACTTCTTGGTATCTTGACTCTTCCCACTGAAGTCAAGGGTAGAACTTCTTGTGGGAGGAGAAGGCTAATACTGAGTGATTTGAAAGTCTTATGACCTTATGCATGTGATGTCAATGAGAGTAGCAGTGAACAGCAAAAAGCAAGATTCTCTACTAATGGTAAGAATTAATTCTTACATATTTTGTGGTTTTCTTTACATCTCTTTCGATGTCTTGCAACATTAAAAATTATTCTAATAGCTATTTTTACAATACAAATGTACATGCAATGAAAAATTCCACTTTCAGGACCAGTTTTTTCTCCCTCTGCCTGCAAGGAAAATGAGAGGTCAATTAAATTGTATGCTAATACCTTTTTTATTTGGCTAAATGGAAGAATAAAATGCAGGCGGAATTTCAAAAGATACAATCCTTTAACAGGCCATGGAAAGAGAACAAAGGAAAGCAATAGATAGGAAAGATCTCCAACAAACTAAACATTTTTGCTCTCCCTATCTCTTCTGTGAAAGTGTTTTTAATTGCTTCATAGCTTGGCTTTCTCTGCAGCTGTGCTGTTACATTTGGGCTCCTTTATTCTAAAATTCTGTGGCATCTGTACTAGAAACTGGCATAACAGTCTTTAGCATTGGAATTACTTTTGCCCCCATCTATCCAAATGAGCAGTAGTGGCTATGTCGGTACTGAGGTAATAGAGAGTTCTCAGCAGGCTCTTTAGCGGTCTGGCTTATCTGTTATACTACTTAAATCTTACATTGTCCTACCTAGACTTGGTATCTTGCCAGAGTGACAGAAGTTCCAGCAACTGCTGTTTACTTTACTTAGTAATGGTCATTCATAGATTTTAGAGCATCACTTACATGAGATGCTGTGCTCTTTAGAAATTATATTATTATCACCATTATGTGTTGCTACCATCATTGTCATTATAAGTTTCAGTATCTACAGCCTCCAAATAATTATCAATAACCAATCCAACAAGTAACAATCCATTCCTTCAAATTTAATTTATATTTGCATGCCACTACAAATGAACCTGACCAGTATCAATACACTGGCATCCTACCTGCTTTTTCCCATATTTTCCAGTTGGAATGCATGTGCAGGTCATGAGGAATATCAGTGGCACTCCGTAAGAAATTTCATCATATACCTTGCACCTTTCTGTATTTATGTCTTGGTTACTGACTAAACTGGTGTTTATAAGGAAAGTAATAAAAAAAATGGAAAAGAGACGACTTGAATTGTGCTGGTTACACTCAAGACTTACTTTCCTGGAAAATGAAGCTGTTTCTACTGTATTCTGAAGTCAAAGGATGAAATTTGTGTCATAATAATATGCTTCACATTCTGAGTCTCTTGATGTGTAACATACCAGTAAACTACCAGTAAATAGTCAAAAGCCTATTAAGAAATTAATTAATTATATGGGAACTACTAAGGAGGAACACAAGGTGTGTCAAATGAGAAGGTGAGTGCAGTCCACTTCTATCAGGCTCCAGTCTCTGCCAGTAGTCTGGTGCACTCCTCAAAATTGGAACAGACCATAAAAAAGAAATGTTAAAGCTTTGAAACATTTAAAGCAAAAGAAAAAGAAACCTTAAAACTCAGCAAAAAGAACAGTTAACAAGTACTTAGGGGCAGAAGAGAGAAAAGATCCAGTAAGCAGTTTAGGTAACACTTCCAAGTGTAATCAAAGTAGAAAAATTACATAACTAATTTTGTTTCCTCCACTTAGATCAATGACTGTTGTGAGATACAGAAAAAAAAAACATGCATTCTCCATAGGTAGTTGAAGAAATGGTATTTTATTTTGCTATGAGGCTCTTGCAATGTGTTAAAAAGTTATGCCAGCATAGATGGAGGTAGTGATCTAGTGAGATAGTAAAAGATTTTCAGTAAAATGAGTTTATCACAGGATTCTGCAGTAGTTTTTTGAATAGATGAGTATTTTAGTACACATGTGGATGTAATACAGATGCAGGTGAATATGTATATCCATATAGTTTGCTATAATGTCTGGGTTTGCAACTTATGCTACAGGTTTGCTTTTCCTGTGTTATGGCAGGTCATGGTTTGCTTCCTTGTGATGGTTTCTTCAGGCAATTATGTAGTGGTTGCCAGATTTAGGCAATTGTAAAATTACTAAGAACTGGTAATATGAATAATAATAACCATATCAGTTAAGTTTTTTCACATTTTAACCTGTATTATGCAATCTGACAAATAAACAGATACAATGCAGTGTTGCTATTTCACTTCTAAGGTTAGGGTTTCTGCTTCCTTGCAGCTGGATTTTCATTCCTGTAAGAACAGGGCTAAGAATGCTGTGGGATAGGTTCTGACTATGCAGGTTTATTTGCAATGTCAGTAATATCCCCCTAGGAAAGGAGGGCATAGTGTCACTGATGCATCAGTAGTTGCAAGAATAAAGCATATGAGAATATTTAGTCTTGCTTGTAGAGCAGTCCTTCCTACTCCAAGCCAAGGCCTGAGAAAGCTCCAGTCCTGCATTTTCATGGCAGGTTTTAATTTCTCATGTCAGCTCATGACTGTCCATATACACAAAGTTCTGAGTAGGTCCCTGTGTGTCCAGGTATGGCTGTCAGTACCGATTATGGCAGTCATCTTTGTCTTTCCTGTTTCATATCATCTGGGGATTAGGAAGCTATCAGCTCTTTATTTATGGGGATCATTTTTGCCTCATGTTAAGCCATATATTATTATGTTCGTAAGAATCATGCAAATGAATAGATAATAAACACTGTGCTGAGATTGTCTGGATAGATATTGCTTAAAAAGTCCCAGCCAAACACTGTTAGGCATTAATTTTTCCTTCTCTTCCTTTTTGTGGGCTGATTTCCTGTAAAACTTTTCCATTTCCACTACAGATTTTTATTGGTTAGCATATTTTGCTCATATGTCCAACATAGAGTAACATGTTTACATAAGAATAGGTCCTTGCTGATAATCAAAAAGCTACCATATATAAAAAAAAACCCACGAAATCCCCAGTATTGGAGTACATGTTTGCCTCTGAAGCATCTTGCTTCTCCAACCCATGAGCATCTGGCCAGGTTCCACCTGGTCTTTGTCACAGGCACACAGGAACAAATGATAAGGATCTCTGTAGACACTTGATTTCTCTGTCTCTCATGCTCCAGCAATGGTTATTTTGTTCCTGATTACTCAGAGTCCCTCTTGGTCAAAAGCAAAGGCAAGGCTGGCTCCTGAATTTGAGACTCTCATGTGGTGGAGTAAAGAACTACATTCTGATTCATGTTTATGTTTTGTGTGCATTGTAGGAAACACTCTTTTAATAAATCAGAAATATTGAATATAGTCACATAATTTCTGAGATTTTTCTCTTCATATTGAAACAGAAATGCACGATTGTTAATTTGCTTGCTCTAGAAATGTTCAATCCAATGCAATAAATTTGCTTCCTCTTTAATTAGCAGAATTAATACTTTCAAGAACACATCAATTTAGGCTCATACAATTTCAAAAGGCATAACATTTTTGGGGTAGGATTATTAAAACAAATGGTGTCAGTGGAGGGTCAAAAGATCTGAAGATCAGGTTTGCTTCAGATAAGCACCTAAATGTTCAGATGCATTTCTGAAATTTAACAAAGTAATTGTGTAACAGGTAAAAATCTTGTGAGACCATGCACTTTTACTAGGATTAGCACTTCCTAGATAACATTTTTTAAGCAGTCAGAAGGTCAGGTATGCAAGAAACATGTATCTTTTCATTTCAGAGGCTCCAGAGCAAATTAATTCTTCAACTTTAGAGGGAGCATCCAGTGCAGAATAGAGCCATAATACTTTCTTTTTCTAAATTACCCGAACTGGTTCTCATGTCCTTAGCAAGGATGTCATGTTTAGGAAAACCATGATTCCCTCAGGACTGATTTCTCATTTACTACTTCCAAAAATTATATGTCTCAAGGGAGCTTCTAAAGTAATCTCCAACTCTCTTTTTCCTTCTAGTCTCATTTGTTTTGGTATTATGAATCCTACAACTCCCTAATGTATCATGTGAGGTTGCTGAAGTACATGCTCTTGCTGCAACTGAGATGTGAAGGAAGGGATACTTGTTTACGGATTACTACTGCCCCTTGCTCAGATGTTCCAGCCATTTCAATGCAGGCTTTACATCCAGATTTTCTTGTTTATCTGGCAGTTCATTGTTTAAGGCCAGCCTGTCAAAATAGGTTAAATATTCTTTGGGAAACATGGTCACATCTTTGAGACACCACAAATATGTTTCATACAAAAAGATTGGCTTGATAAAAGAAACATGATAAACTTGCATCCCCCAAAACACTTTTCTGCTGTTCCATGTAGATTTCTAAGAGCATCAGTACGCATGACAAATCTCATGGCAATAAATTCCTGGAAAAGGCACAGAGAGACACCAGCAAAGCAGTGAAAATGATTGCAGATGATTTGTTCTAACCACTTGACCTTGTGACATCTCCCCCAGATATATGACCAAGATGGGACACTGCAGCACTTTATTGATGGTGGAGAACCCAGTAAGTCAAGCTGGATGAGGTATATCCGATGTGCGAGGCACTGCGGGGAACAGAACTTAACAGTGGTTCAATACAGGTAAAGTGTGTTTTGACTTACCCAATGCAACAAAGTGAAAATGTTTTTAGTGAAAAGTCAGACTGTAACTGTCACCAGTACTATTGCCTTTGATTGCAAAGACAGTAGCAGGGCTTTTGTGAATGTGCTCATTCGGGGCAATACAAAAGCTGCAGAGTGTAGTGAGGATGGGTTTAACCTTGGCTGCTCTGAGCTGAAGGCCATTGTCGTAAGCGTGCTAGACCTGGAGCTCCTGGGAACAAGTACAGCCCTGTGTCGTTCATGTGACCACTATGCTGCACAGAGCCCTCTGCACGTTTTTCAATGGTCTCATCAGAAGCAAGACAACACAAGTAATCTTCTGCCCTTAATAAAGATGCATGTGCTAGAGGAAGGGGAAAAATGGCAGGAGAGGAGTTTTGAACCCAAAGGCTTTCTGAGAGTCAGTCATGAGACACATATACATCTAAAGCTTATAGGTTGAGTGCACCTGCTAGCCAACATTGCTAGTGCTTGTGCCTCTTACATCGCTGGCTAGAGAAGGTCAAAATGTGAAGAAAAGTGTAAAGAAATTATGGTGCATTTTACTTTGTACTTGCTAACAGATCCAGAAAGCCCAGACGATGCATTACATAAATACATGATCTCAGCTATAAACAAACCTTTTGCCTCAGAATCAGAAGCAACTGCTTGGCCTTATTAAACGTGGAAGGAAGCACATCAAAGAATGCCCCAGGCTTGCCAGTCACAGTGAGCAATCCTGATTTTGGCTAGTTGTTTTAGAGAGTGGAGATTCTTTTCTTTAGGAAGAATCTTAAACTTATTTAAAGTACCTTTAAAATTAAAAATAAAACATACAAAAGCAAGCTAAAATGAAATATATATAAAGTTTGATTATCCCATAGGGTTCCAATTTAACAATGGTAAAATTGCTCAATTCCATTTTCAGCTTTTTTATTCTCTGTCCAGTTGACTAAATAATGCCGCAGTTAAAAAAAATAACAATCCTATTTATACAGTACAAATCTTTTATTATACCCTTAAATATCTGATATCTATAGCTAAAACCCCATTGGATTTTAAATAAACACACTGGATAATGAATAAAGATTTCTGTGATGAAAGAGTATTTTTGTAGGTATCTTGTGAACTATTTCTCAGTGTGGTGGTGTGTGCACGCACATATATATATAAAAATAAGAAAAAAATGTATATGCGTACATATACATAGATGACAAACCTAAATGAAAAGTGAGCATGAGAAAGTCATTACACATCTGTCAATATTAAGTGGATTTTACAACTCTCCTTTCATGATGGAGTTTTTGCTTAGAGTTCCCTCTGTTGATCTGTTTTCGATTACTTCAGATCTTTATAAAATGAACTACAAAAACACAATTTAAAAAACTGGCATCCATCACCAGTGACTGCATCCAAGTGTAAGAAAATAGAAAAGTTGGACACTGAAAAACCGGCCTAATTTTTATTGTACATGGATGTCCTCCTCACAGAAAGTCAGCTGGTTTAAATTCATTCTGTTATGATTTGTAATATCTAAATGGAATTTTCTTCAAAGTGCTCTTGATTGATTGACCCTTAGCTGAACGTTTTGTTTTTATTTTGAGGCTGACAATAATGTTTGTTGGCATGTGTTCTGCTTCAACTGCGTTGGGACGCCATGAAGCTATCTTTATGAGTCATCCAACCACAATACTAAATACATGTCAGCAAAGGAAATATTATCCAAAAAGGGAAAAATCCCTTTGATGTACTTCAGCATGCAGAGATTTCTGCGAGTTTTGGAAGCTCTGCACACTTGTAAGGGACGGTGTACGCTTACACTTTTTTTTCCCTGCCTACTCCAAGCCTCACAGACCACCCATTGCTCAAAAACAGTTCTGCTCTTTCAGCGGCAAAGTGTGTCATTTGGTTTTAGCACATTCATTTGCTGGGCTGCTGTGTTTATGTTAAGGGAAGCCAAACTGAGAGATGAAATGTTACAAGGGTGAAGTACAAAGTAGACTCAATTTTTCTCAAGTTAGGGGATGCTGGTAATTTATAGCATGGCTCCAATTTTCATTTTAATGTAACAGTGGAAAGAATTAACAAAATGCGCAGCTCTGGGAAGAAAGAGACGGAGGAGAGGAGGAGAGAGGGGGAGACACAAAGGGGAAAGTTTTTGTCAGATATGCATAGAAGGGTAGGAAAATGGTTCTGCTTAGCTAGCAGTGCCCTCCTGAGACAGGGTGGCAGTAAGCGAGGAAAATAACAAGATAAATGAAATTTTTGCAGCTGCTAGTAAAATATTGAGAATCTGCACTTTTTTATTGATCTTTATGATCCTGTTGCCAAGAGCCACTTTGCGGTGACAAAATATGTTGACAAGTGCATATCTCACTGCCATGAAAAATGTGGTAAAGGATTCTCCTTATGTCTGCAGTGTTATACAAGGAACAAATTGCATTGCTACAGCCAATTCTTTACAGAAAGTCTAAATTTAAAGCCTACCAACCCTAAACACTTTTATCTTGAACTTCAGGCTAACGTTTGTAGCAATTCTTCACTCAGAAAACCGGTTGAGGCCTGACGGGTTTTTTTTGGTCTATAGATGTTTTTCTGCCTTACATAAGCTGTTATAAAAAATGGTCATTTCTTGGTACTTTGACTGTATCATTTTGGTATGTAATCCTTCAGCGAGAGTGGAGTGTTATTCTTGTATATATTGAATTTCTATCCATCTCACAGGAGTGTGTTTTACTGTTCCATATGAAGCCTAAGGGAAAAGCCACTACAAACTGATAACATTTTTATTTTATCTTGTGCCTGATTCTAATCTTACATAGTTTTTGCCCCCATGTAAATCTGTTAACTGTAGAAGTACCACTCTGAAGCTATTTACATCAGTGCAAGACCAGGATAAGGCTCTTGTTTTTGTGGTGGAGACTCTAGTTTTTTTTTCCCTTTTTTCCCTCAACTCCCAGTTCAGTGGTATAGGAATATCCACAGTCTTTTCCCACAGAGCGATGTGATATCACATTTACAGTAACACTAATTTATACTTACTGAAGGATCATTAATGTTACCCTCATGTTTGATACTGGGGAAGGTTTTTGTGTTTGTATGTTCAGATTAACCCCAATTTTATTTCCCTGTCTATTTTACTCAGCAATCCAATATCTCTCTTTTTGGTGGTATATTACTGTAATGAAAGGCCACATCATGCTACTTCAAACCTCTTGCTGAAAACACTTATTCAAATAAAAGAGTTGTTGTCTATTTACCCCTAAAATATGTTAGCTTTATCTTAGATGACAAATGCAAAGCTGTTTAAATGGCTGAACTTACCTAACTCTGGGAACCACTCTGATGCTTGTACTGTGTTAGCAAAATACGTAATTTCTAAAATCACTTTAAAAGGAACATTGCAAGAAAATATCAATCTTTTCATAAAATCTTGGTGCTCGTAAAATCTTAGACTTTAAAATATGCTAGGTACAAAGTGCCTGTAAGCTCTTTGTTACCCTGTGCTACAGGAACAAAGTATCATCTGCCCTGATGATAGATTTGGGTTTAAAATAATCAGTAAGTTATTAATTTAGTTACCTGCAGAAATGCTTCCAAAACAATGGATTTCTACTGTGATACTGTGTATGATAAGAGGGGCATGCTCTATTCCTAAAGTAGGCATTTTTTTTTCTTTTTCTCTTGATCAGGTCAAATATATTCTACCGGGCTTGTATAGATATCCCCAGGGGCACTGAGCTGTTGGTGTGGTACAATGACAGCTACACATCTTTCTTTGGAATCCCTCTCCAGTGCATTGCACAAGATGAAAATTGTAAGTTCTTCCTTGCATTTCTGCCTGCATAAGCCGGAATTCCTGTTTCATACCTAATCAGCTATATCCTTAGAGAGTTTTAAGACATAGTAAATGAAAATGGTTATATATCTAAGGTAAGCTTGATGTATACAAAATAAAACCTTGAAGCTGATACACTTAAGCCATGCAAAACCATGGTATGGTTACCTAGATCAACAGTGGTGTTTGGAAGTGTGCAGGTTGTGCAATTAAATAGCAAATTTCCCACTATGGCAGCTCCACATAGCTTGGTAGTGTGTAGAATCACTCTTCCTTGTGATTCATTCCTAGTCTGTTCTTAACCAATTTGCTTGGCCCTCTCCATTGTTATCAGACCTGTCAGAAGAGACTGTCTTGCCAAAACAGTAATGCATTGCAGGTCTACAAGGCCTCTGTTAGTTCTTCATTCTATTACCACTGAGTAAGCTGAGAAAAGCTTTGTCTCACTGATTGTAGAGATGAGATCCTTGTGGGTAAAATAAAAAAGCTAGCCTCTCTAAATACAGCTTGAGCGTAAGCAGCCTGAAATGACAAGGAACTTCCATTCCATCCTGCCCCATCCCCATTTCCATCCATTCTTCTACCCCTTCTCAATATTTTACTTTTAGTTTGCTAGCAATCATCACAAAATTAAGCATGTAACTTACTTACAACACAGACCCAGTGCAACCTAGTGCAGGATACCTTTGTCTGTAATGGGAATGGGTGATCCACGCATGCCCTTCAGTTTCACTGTTTGTGTATGGAACTTGATTAGAGCTTGCATCAAAGACCTCCCTTCCATTTTGACAACTCTGTGTATCTACATTGTGGAAGAAGCCAGTAATGAATGGCTGATTGACTTTGGTCTAAAGTAACCCTGTGGCTGGCCATGCTTAATCAATTGCATACAAGATGTATTTTTTGTGTCAAGTACTTGGATACTTAAACAGCAATGCTAGGATGAACTTGTGTGTCGTAGCAACTTAAATACTGAACCAAGCGGCAATAAAACAGCAAGATAGCAGGGATTAAACTGTCAAAAATAAACATCTTTTTTCATCTTAAGTTTTCAAATCTGTTGGGCTTGAGAAAAGTTTAAAAGAAATTTAATTACTGGCAGTAATGTTTGCTGATAAAACTCATGCTCTGCAGTGTACAATATAGAAATATTATTTTTTCTTTCATGAGCTGAAGCTTACAAAACCTTAGTTGAAAAGCAAAGAACTATGGTTAAAATCTCCAAATATTCTGACTTGCTATTTTGCTGTGAGAGAAACCAGAGTTTCATCCACAGAGAGACTGGCATGAGTAGATGAAATTAATCTCCAAGCATGGAGCCAACTGCAGGCTGGTATATGACTTAAGTGTCACTTAACCCCTCAGAGTAGACCTTCTGCTTATCTTCTGCACAGAGGTATTTTTACCCAGTAACTCTGCCTATATTCCTTAGGTCTTTATTATCCTGATCTTATTGCTTCTGTGGACTTTTATGAATACATTTTAAAAAAAAAAAAAAAAAAAAACAACTATTTCTTGTGTGAGAATGTTGGGGCAAAATGGAAGTATACAAATTGCCCATTGTACTGAAGAGAGACATAGAAGATGTGTTATATGTCTGGAAACTTGTGATAGACAGCCCCCTGGGTGTAACTCTACTTAGAAATCAGGACCTTAGATACTCCAGAAAACAAAAGTCTAGGAAGGACCTCAACCTACATAAATTAAATAGCATGTAATATTATAATATTAGAGTTATTATGATTGCTGGAAGATATTAAAACATAACTCTGTGAAGTAACTGGCATTATTTAAGGTATTACCAAAACATTAGTTTGCATTACATTTTTATTGTATAGTAAATTATGTTGGATGATTCCAGCTCACAACTGAAATTTAATTCTTGTATTTGCTCTTAGAAACCTGTCATCATGATTTACTTAAACAGAGTTGCAGTTTCTAATCACCTGTTTAGTAGGTGCTATGTACCTACATGTGGATATATACATATAAACACTTTGTGACAGTAACAAAATGTGTGAATATGTACACAGACATATGCATTCAACATATTTCATTAAAAGATCTCCATTAAAATATTAATCTCATGAGGCTGAGCATGCCAAAACTAGAACACATGAGAAGGTACGAGGTCTAGGTGGCCTAAATTATGCTTGGTTTTGCATTGTGATACAATCTTGCATGAGCTGACCCCCTTTTTCCATAGGACCCTTGCTTCATTCACTGCATGATCTAGATGGTACTCAAGGAGTGAGGCAGCTGTTCAACTTTCTTCTATATGTTTGACCTCCAGCCTTCCTTATCATGCAAAATCCAAATTCAGTATTAAATCACTTCTTTGTGAGAACCGTGTATATTGCATTTGTTGCTGAAATATCTCATAAGCCATAGTTAATTGATGATGATAAGACATTTATGGGACTAGAAACAATTTTTGTTCCTATTTTGTAGGTGGGAAATTGATGCACAAAGATATCTCTGTCTATACTGTGCATTGTCTCATGGTGATCTAACTGCTGTTAGCTTTAATTATATGAGTCATGGTGAAGTCACTGGCTTTGTATTGTATTGGCTGTGTGACTATTTGTGAAATGTAATACTATAATATCCTTAGTGGCTGCCCTTTAACAGGATAAGGGAACTATTGCTGCGATATTTAAACCCTGTTGTATCTCAAGGAGTGTCTGAGCAAGGATTTTTTTCCCCATAATCTCAAAATCCATGCTTGTCTGTGATATAGCAATTGGACATGCTGACTGCAACATGCAGAGTCAGGGTATCACAAGTACAGCAGCATTTTCTTTCAGACGATAATCCCGTTGTGCAATAAATGTATATCACAGTCAGGCCTCTCTGAGTCTTTTCACTCTCAGACACCCCTTTGCATGAGTTTTCATTTCAGTGTCACAGGATCAGCATCATCCATTCAGATCACTGTGTCATTCAAGCCCATTTTTTTGTGCATTGTTAAAATAAGGTGTTTAATTCTAGTGTCAAGAAAATGGATGTTGGTATTTTTTTGGTGTCTCCCACACTGTATTAGTTTTAAAAAGGCATAAAAAGGATCTTATTTACTTTTCTTGTTTTCTCCCAGTGAATGTCCCTTCGACTGTAATGGAGGCCATGTCCAGACAAGACACCCTACAGCCATTTAATAAAAGTAGCAAACTATCCCCTGCCACTCCACAGCGATCCATAGTATTTCCACAGACTCCGTGTAGCAGAAATTTTTCTCTCCTGGATAAGTCTGGGTCCATCGAGTCAGGATTTAACCAGATCAGTGTCAAAAACCAACGAGTTCTTGCAAGCCCAACTTCAACAAGCCAACTAAATTCTGAGTTCAGTGACTGGCATCTTTGGAAATGTGGGCAATGCTTTAAGACTTTCACCCAGCGGATCCTCTTACAGATGCATGTGTGTACGCAGAATCCTGACAGGTAAAGCCCAGGCTCTCTTTATTTCTGTATCTACTGATAGCCAGATCCACTGCTTTCTTCTTTTATCAAGCTGTTATCATTTCCAAAAACAAACCATTATTAGGAGGAGCCTGTACGACATAATTCATCTGCAGCTGTGTGAAGTAAGCCGATAAAAACCATTGCTTGACTTCACTATTTGTAAAAACATTTGGTGCCTAAATGTGCAGATAAAAGGAAATAGCTAAGGATATAATCTTGTTTTCAGAATGGTTTGGTACATCTGATGGAGGCAACAAAATAGAAGGAAAATTTATTAATATCATAGATGGAAAAATGAGGTCAAGATAATTAAAAGTCTCTCTGTCTTCCAAAGATAATCTAACTTGCTGCTCAGTGGCTGTCACAGTCATTTCAGGGTTCACCTATAGTGTGCAATGTGTATGAACTTAATTAAGTACTAAGAGGTAATGAATTGGAATTTTTTGCTTAGTACTATTTTTCTTCAGAGCATGCAAACCCATAAATCGTGCAAAGCTGTCAAAAGGAAATACCTACTCCACTAGTGATGTGGAGGAAAACAGATGCCACTTATTCAATAAACTAATATCCACACAGAAGAAAAATGTTGACTAGATACCTCAGAGTCAAAGTTGGTTTGAAAGTTTGTCAATACAGAATTTTATGGCTGTGAACTGAGGATGAAATTTAGCTGAACAAGTGAATTAAAATTTCAGGTACTCTGACCGGTGGCACAGTAAATATAATGGAACCATTATTTATTAATCAAAGCTGGTTTATTTGACAATTTTGATAGCTGGCAGGACAAAAGACAAAAATCAAATTAATTCAATAAAAAAGGCTGCCCATATTTTGTCTCTTCTTCAGCTGTGAAGAAGGTTTGAACAGAACAGCTGAATCCCTGGAAGGTTGTTCTAAAAGCAGCATTTAATTGTGAACTACATTTAACAAAAACACTACCAAAACATACTCAACAGTGAGTCTGTGCATGTGTTTGTGTGCTTGTCTATGTCTCTTTGTGTACGTGGTTATCTACATGTACACATGCTTGTGTGATTCTGTGGGTATGGAGATACTGGAGCATAAATCTGGTTTTCCAGGAAGAAATGTCAAGCATGCTAGGGGCAAAATAGATTCTGTGGAAATCTTCATAACACTTAAAGAGTTGATAATATTGTGAATGCAAACAAGCACTTTCAACATTTTCTGAATTTTATGCTGGCCTTAGCAGAAACAAATGGCATGCTAAGGAAGCTGTAGGACACAACTGTCAATTTAAGTCCCTCAATGTAGAATATAGGTCCTGAAAGGTCCACTCCCCTAAGTTTCATGGACTCTCGTGTTTCCAACATTAAAGTATCCTAAGCATACTGTAAAGCATAAAGTGCTGCATCAGGGAGTCTAGAAGAGGTATGTTGTGAGGCTCCTCCACATACTTTTTCAGTGATCCACCCAACCAGGTGTGACACCTAGATTTCATCCTTTCCTTCACTTGAACCTGTGTCTTCCTTTATGAAGAACCAAACTGCAGTTAATAGTTAATGCAAAAAGAGTCTCTCCTAATGGGGCTATTCTGCATTCAAACAGATAGTTAAATATTCATTTTGCCAGGGAGAAAATGAGGACAAGTCTATCCTACAATGAGGTCTGTCATCTTGGAGGTGAGAGATTTGATTTTTTTTTTCTTTGTATTTATTGTTATTTATTTTCTCCTAAGTATCTTGTGTTAAATATTGCCTGAGACACAGGCCAGATTTTAAGTCTTCCCCCAAGAGGTGAACATCCTCATTAGTAGGTTACTGATCCATGACGTTTTACTGTTTTGTCTCTTCTGTGCCTACCTAATTTCTCCATGCAGAACAGCTTCAACAAGAAAGTGTAGGGCATTTTTAGCTTAGAACATGCTACAGCATAGTAGGAAAATTATCTGGCTCAGAAGACAAGCTGGGTCCTCCAGGAACAAAAAGAGCAAAGGGTGACTTCAGAAAGGACTCAGCAGATTTGGGGAGGATTGGGGTGGAGGGGAGGTAAGTGAAGACTCTGAGTTGTAAGTGTTGAATCCTGGAAGCTTTCAGGAAGATTCAAAACATAATAGCTAACGCCTTTTTCTCAATATTGATACTGGCTATCTTAGCTGATTTCCTCTTTTGGCTTGTTGGGTTTTGTGAATCCTGTTCTTAAGAAACTTTTTCTCTTGTGTTATACAGAAAGCATAAAACTTTAATAAGGTTGCAAGATACACTTAGGATCAATCCTAAGTGTATGCAACAAAGGTCGCATAAATACTAGATACTGCAGTACTCTGTTCTGTGACACCTGTGTTCCCTGTGTACTGAAAACTGGCTTACATCTCTATGTTTTCATTAAATAAATTGTGCAGACTCCTTGCGGAGGCCAGTTTTGTAATGCCTTCTTTGTTCCTGTGAGGTGTGCCATCAACGTAACTGCTGTAAAAGCATTTCCCAACAGGTCTTCTTTAGAGTGTTACGTGGGACGTCAGTCACATGAATCTGTTTAAGCTCACTGCCGTTCATTCGGTGTTTGAAATTACCAGAATAATAGTTACTGCAGATCATAACTGCCCTACGATCTGTGTTCTCATATCCCTGGTTAGAAATCCTTACAGGCTGAGCTTACATCACCGGCAGCTTTTTGTCTTTTAGCAGGTACCAGTAGACCAGCTATTTAGTGACACAGTGGCTGGAAAAGAGTTGTCTTTCATTTCTTAAACGTACTGCATTTCTTCAGATGAAAAATTCCTGAAGTGTTTTACAAAATTTCCAGGAGACAAGAAAATAAGGTATCATTTGTGAAAGAATACCTGCCTGCCAGCCTGAAGTACTGGGTGCAACTCTCTGGTTTGTATTTTCTCAACAATATCTGCAGCACCACTCCAGCTGATAAACAGCTCCCCATTTATTGTCAGCAATTTGTGAGCACACCAACCACTATATCTTTGATGTGACTGAAGCAGCAGGGGCTGCCTTCTCTAGGAAATGGCTTTAGACTATCTGTTCTGGCTTTGTATTTGTTTTTCAACAACGCTGATTACCTACAGCATGAGGTGCAGGGGAAAAGTCTTTGAATCTATACAGGAGTCCCGTTCATGGGCTGAAATTTGAGAAGAGCAGACTACTTGAGAAATTCAAAAAGAGAAATTACTTTAAAACCACTTAGATTCAGAAAACATAAGAGTAGGTATAAAAAAGGCCAAAATATACTTAATTGAGTTAAGCAATAAGAAAGAAATGGTCCTATTTAACAGGCAGATGATTTAATAAATAAAAATAATTTTTAAAAATGATGAATCCAAAATAGGGAGAATTATTAAAATCATCTACTCTGTTGTTTTAGATTAAGATTAAGGTTTTAATTTAAATTAAAATTAACTATAAATTATTTACTGGTTTACTTATAATTTACTTCTCCCTTTCCACTGAGATTTTTTTAGCTTGTTATATTTTACAGGATTTCTCTTTGAACTTAATGGTAGTTGGGATTGGAGTGGGTGTGGGAGGTGAAGACTTAAATCCATCAAGATTTGAATTCTGCGATTTTCTGAGCCTTTGGGACTTTTTTTAAGCCTTGTCCAGATAGCAGCAGTTTGAGCAACTATTCCTTGAAGCAGAAGTCAGAAATCTATTTGCTCTTCTTTTTTTATTTTTGGTTTTGCTTTTAGTTTTTTTCCTCGCCCTCCTGCAGAAATTCCCAACAATCCTATTTCGGGGGCCTGCACAAAGAGGTAACCAAAAGCCTTTGATCACAGTGAACCATTTTTGGAGCAGGTTGGGTTTTGTTTTTGTTTTTGTTTTTGTTTTTGTTTTTGTTTTTGTTTTTGTTTTTTTAACAGCAACCACTTTTCTGATAATGACACAGTCTCTTTTAATGACATCTTTCTCACTATGATCACCAGATTCAGGATCTATTGGTGTTGCGGGAAGGCAGATGGCTGCAGTTCCCAAGAGCTGTCTGTGGCACATCTTCATATACAATATGTACATCTGTATGATATATATTCTCATTGATTGCCATGTATTTAAGCTGATAATCTGAAGGAAAACCCACTCTATAAGTGTGTCTGTGGCTGATAGATTGTGGATGTTATCTGGCCCTCACAATTCTTGTTTACTCAAAAGATATTATTGTACTCATGTTTTGCTGTAGCAACTCAGTATTAAATTGTGAGGTTTTTTAAAAAACAGGAGCTTGAAGCTTGAAGTTGGCAGTTTAACAGATCCTTTTCTCTAAGATTATGGCTCAGCCCATTTTCTGTGTCTTTGACCTTTATCTCTTCCCTAAGTCCATTAATTAATTTAAACATCTTCCAAACAGACCTAAAAAAAGTAAATTTTGTGAGCAAGAGTTGACTATTTCTATTTATAGAGTGGCTATGAAATATTGCTCAATTAAAGTAAACATTATGCTGAATATAATGGTTCTTCTTGCATAATCTTTTCACAAAGGTTTGCAAACTCCCAGTACTCACTTAGTAACAATAAAGGGTGTACACAGCAGCACCTCTCCCTGACAGTTTCAGAAGTTTGAAAACACTTCAAGTCCACTGACTTTCTGCTTTTGCTAGTTCCTCCATAAACATTTGTAAGAAACAATCCCAGAACTCCCAGTGGGTCCAGCTCTGCCATCCCCACTGCTGTGTGGTGCCTGCAGTGCTCAGGGCAGCAGCTGTGCCGCCTAAGGGGAATGCCAAGGCAGGAGGGGATGGAACGAAAGTCCAGAGGTAGTGAATGCAACCCACCCATGGCCATGCCGATGCTAGGCATGCTTCTGTGTGCAAGCTAACAGTACCCTTAGAAGTCACTTTGTTCTCCAGCTTCTTAGTTCAACTTGCTAGAAAAAGGCATCCCTCCAAAATACCTTTCCATTAGGACAACTGTGACCTAACTCCTCTGACTGCAGCTGTGCTCTTAATGCTGTGTTGTACGAAGGCCTGTCCCTGAAAGCTGATGCTGGCCCCATTTCAACATGCCCTGCTTTCATTTTTTTGCAGAGGCTGTGGTGTGACAGCGTTCCCCCTATCACATCATGAAACCCTACCCTGGGTTCAATGGAGCCCTGCATCCCATGCTTTGAGACCCTGACATCAATCACATTCATTTTTTACTTCTTCTTAGTCTTCGCTAAGGAGAAAAGCACTTTCAACCGCATGTCAGTCTCTCTTCTTTCACCTGATGCTTTTCTAGCTTTTTCTAAGGGGGAAAAATGACAGCAATGTGCTATTTTGTCTCCCTGAACTGACACTGTTTCAATGATAGAGTTACAGGTATTCAGGAACTCACCATTACAAGCAATTCCTCTTCTAAGGATTGCACTAGGATTCTACATGCCCCTTGAAAACAGCAAATTCGCTTCTGAAGAAGCCTCACGAGAAACCTGTTCATCATAAAGGAAAGAATTTTAAAATTCAGAGGAAAATAATTATAAGATTTTTCAGGATTCTAATAATTCAGACCATTAATCAGTTACAATGTAGAAAATAAGTTAATATTGGCTGAATGTAGTTAGCAGTCAGAGGCTGGAAAGTGTATTGTTCTAGCAGGGAATAGTACAAGGCAAATAATTAAAGGCTATGTCAGTTTTGCCAAATGAAAATCTAAGTAGAATCAATCTAAATGTACAGTTGTCTGTCAGCAGCTATTCCAGGGGCAAAGGCACGGATTTTTCTATTGCTATCCCTTAACGTGCTTTATACATGTTAAGGGATCCCCATCCCCTGTACAAAGCACGAGCTTTGGTGAGGTTCAATAAGCCTCGGAGAGGAACATAGGTTTTGCGCTGGTCTTACACATGATATAGTTTCACGCAGAAAAAATCAGCTACAAAGGTTGAGAAAATTGTAAGATGTGAAAGGACATCACCAAACAGCAAAATCATTCAAGAGATTGTCTAAATTAGGGAGCAAAAAATATTTTGACTGATTTAATTTTGAAAATGTAACTTGAAAAACTTGGAAAAGCTCAAAATCTGAATAACTACAAAACTTGAAAACTATTACATTACAGTTGCCCCTTATTGAATTTCACTTTAAGTGGCCTGTGTTCCTACAGTGGGCCATCATATAGTCAGGGACTGTAAGATTAGGGCCTCTAGAAAAAGCTGGTGGACTCTACATGATAGTAAATCTAGATAGCTGATAGATAGTGCATGAGGTTAATGACAACAGTGTAATTTTTCCAACAGGAGAATTTGCTTCTAGGTAAGTAGATTTCCTTCCTTTAAGCTCAGACAGGAAGACAGAGAACTAGAAAAATATGTAGCTACGTGTTTAATGAAAAACATTAGAACTGCTTTTGGTGGCTGTCAGCACATCATTCTCATCTGCACATTGCTATACGTCAGTTTATCTGTTCTTAAATGTAACTTAAAAATACTATATGAGAAGATCTTGATCAGGCTCAATTTACATCTGAAAGGCCTACAAGATCCTTTGAAGAAAATGCAATGATGAAGACATTCAAAACTATGTTGTTTCTGCTACATGATAGCTGGAGAACAAATTTTTGTTGGAAAAAAAATTCTTCATATAGTCAGCATGTACTTTGAGGCCCTAGTACACTTGTTTCATCAAACTGATTATTTTCATGCTTGCAAATCTGTCTGTACATCTGCAAAGGAATATTTTAGTTATACATGCTTTCACATATGAAGTGACTGACATCCATTTTGTTTGAACATTAATTTTCTGGAGCATCAACGCACATCTGGACTGTGACACAGCTAGGCTAATATTCACAAGGGTACCTTGAAGCTCAGGAAGGTACAATGTGTTCTCGGCTATTCCAATGGAAATGAGTTTTTTTGGGCTGGGACTGCATTCAGTCTAGCAGCACGTCTTCGAAAATACAGCATATGAAGACAACCATTTTTGTCACTATATCCCTGGTCCTTCTGTCTGCAAACCTCTGCTATAAAGAGGTCACCATCTTAATTCATTGTCCCAGTGCAGACCAAAGTGGTGGCAGAAGACATAACTGCTACATCAAAGATAGCCCTGCTCTGTCTATGTCAATGTAGTCACTGAACCGAGCATTGCTCATGTTCAGTACTTCCGCACCACTTTCATTGTTTTTAAAAACAACATATTGATTTTATTTTCTGCCAAGAAAAATTTCTGAACACAGTAAAATGATTACCAGAGATCAAAATGATAACTTTTACACTTATTGCATGACTTTTTTTGCTCTTGGAAAAAATAGTAGTATCCAAAAGTTGTCAAGTTGTGGCATATTTGAATCTGTAATTGTGCAAATTAGATACAGCATTTTTAAATTGTCACAGTATGTCAATGCATTTATAGGCTTTCTTTTTAAAATGAGCTTTGTTTAATGTGTGCCATGTATCTAGCTTGAAAAAAATTACTTTTTCTGCCCATTTTAGTATTAATCAGAATCGCCTGTGTATAAGGTGGAGAAATGCATCGCCTGCAAAAAGAAGGGTAACTTCTTTAATAGTTGTTCTCCCAAGATATAGAAGAATGGAAAAAAACCAAAGTGATCTAACAATAGGTGATTTTTTACAGGGCTCTTTTTCTTGAGCATCAGCCAGCGAAATGTATTCTGAGTACATACATTAATATCCTTTGTAAACAAGAAATTTTTTTTTGAGTCAATGTAGGGGGTAAAAACATTTTACTTGGCATCACAATGTTCAGTTTAGAATTTTGACTTTACAGACAAGTTACGGTGTGACTTTTCACAGTACGAAATTAATCACATCGACTCTTAAAAAAACAAAAGATTAATTAGTTTTATGTAGTGTTGTATCATTTATTGTGGTAGCTGTTAAAAATAGATAACCAGGGGCTAATAGATGTTAATGGTCCCTTTCACTATTAAAAAATCAATGTTTCTTGGATACAGAATATCTTAATGTGTTCTTTCTGCTTAAAAGTGTTTGATATGAAAATACCCAAACAAATAAGTCTGCATTCACAAATCATCTTTGTTGTACCAGCACTTGAATTTTCATGTCAAGTTTGATAAATATTTTCTATGCAAATTAACTGTGCACTTCAAGAAAGGAGAAGACTGGGTATGTTGCTACTTGTCTTCCAATAAGGG